GAATCAGTAAGCTTTCAAGATGTGTAGGTTACTCCAGATAGAGAGTACTGGTTAAAAGTAATGAAAAAAGAGATTGAGTCATTACGAAAGAATGGTACTTATGATCTTGTTAAACTTTCAACAGGGAAGAGGCCATTAAAGAATAAATGGGTGCTCAAGTTGAAAAATGATGGTGACAAACTAGTAAGGTACAAAGCTCGATTGGTAGTAAAAGGTTTTTCTCAAAAACCAGGCATCGATTTTGATGAGATTTTTGCTCCAGTTGTAAAAATGAGTTCTATTCGAGTGGTACTGGGATTGGCAGCTAGTTTGAATCTTGAACTTGAGCAACTTGATGTTAAAATTGCATTTTTGCATGGTTATTTACAATAGGACATTTATATGAATCAACCTGAGGGTTTTGAAATGAAAGAGAAAGAGCACTTAGTTTGCAAATTGAAGAAAAGCTTGTATGGCTTGAAACAAGCTCCGTGACAGTGGTACAAGAAGTTTGATTCTTTTATGGTGAGTCATAGCTATAAAAAAATAGCAATGGATTCTTGTGTGTATGTTAAACAATTTTCTAATGGTAACTTCATTATCCTATTATTATATGTTGATGATATGTTTATTGTAAGACAAGATGCTAGTATGGTTTGCAGGTTGAAAGAACAATTGTCTAAGTCTTTTGATATGAAGGATTTAGGTCCAGCAAAGCAGATTCTTGGTATAGATATTATCCAGGATAGGAGAGCTGAAAAGCTGTGGTTGTCACAGAAAAAGTATGTTGAACGAGTGCTTGGTAGATTCAACATGCAATATGCTAAATCAGTTAGCAGTTCACTTGCCAACCATTTTCATCTAAGTAAGAAATCTTGTCCAGTGTCTAAGGAAGAGCAACTAGCTATGTCTAGTATTCCTTATTCTTCTGTAGTTGGTTCTTTAATGTATCTTATGGTTTGTACAAGGCCTGACTTTGCTCATACAGTTGGTGTAGTGAGCAGATTTCTTTCTAATCCAGAGAAGGTTCACTAGGAAGCAGTGAAATGAATTTTTAGATATTTGAGGGGTACCTCAAAAATGTGCTTGACTTATGAAGTTTTACAACCAGTTCTAGAAGGGTTTACTGATGCTGACATGGCAGACGATCTTGATGGTAGAAACTCTACTTCAGGGTATTTGTTCACTTTTGCAGGAGGAGCTGTATCTTGACAATCTAAGTTGCAGAAGTGTGTTGCTTTGTCAACTACAGAGGCTGAGTATATTACAGCAATCGAAGCATGTAAAGAAATGCTTTGGATAAAACATTTTCTTCTTGAATTGGGGTTGAATCAGAAAGAGTATGTGATATTTTGTAATAGTTAGAGTGCTTTAAATTTGAGTAAGAATACTATGTACCATGCTAGAACAAAGCACATTGATGTTAGATATCATTGGTTACGTTCAGTGATTGAAAAATAGCAGATGTTATTAAAAAAAGTCCATACTAATAAGAATGTAGCAGATATGTTGACTAAGATACTTCCCAGGGAAAAGCTTGAGCTTTGCAGTAACTTGATCGGAATGAGTTCCCTGACCAAGGTAAGTTCCAAATGAAACTGCTATGGTAATGAATCTCCTCCTAATGGGGCTGGAGGGGGAGATTGTTAGAAAAATGGGGTCCAGTCCCATGTAAATGGTTTTGGACCAAGTAAAGGCCATGGGCCTTAATCTTTTATTTTACACAGAGCCCTAGCTACTTAATAAAAAAGATGTGAGGTTGTTTTAGGTGTGTGTCGAAAACCAAGCAGAGAAAGAAAAAAAGCCAGGAAAAGCAGAGAGAGAAAAAAGATAAGGGAGAGTTGGTTAAACGAAAGTCGATCCGTGGTCCGATTGAGTTAGAACCTTGTCAGGAGGTTTATGATTCAGAGTTCTACATTCTGAATGGTGAAGATCAGGTTTGAAGCTCTCTAGGAACAAATTCAGGGTGTATTTGTTGAGTCACTTATTTGGTGAGATTTCTCCAATTATTTCTCTAGTTGTTGATTAGCTCTAGTTTTAGCTAGAGAAGAACTTTGTATAACTATTATTTGATAGTGAAGATTTTTCTGATGACCCGGGGTTTTTTTCCTCTACACTTGAAGGTTTTTCACGTAAATCTTAGTGTGCTTTATTTTTTCTGCGTATTTGATTATTGATTATTATATTATTATGATTATTGCTTCAGGCGCAACAGTAGGTTCTTCATCCCACAGGTGTAACTGAACTTTCAGCGTAGATACTAGCAGCATTAAAGTTCTTCTAATTTCATGGCTCACTAATTTTTGTTTTCCTCTTCTTTTTTTTTTTTTCTTTGGGTCTGGTTTCTTGGTTCACGGGCTCGAAAATGTGTAATTCGTCTTCCAGGTTTATTCAATGCTATGTTCCTTCAATGGGAGGATGAATATATATATATATATATATATATATATGCTTTTGTCATATGAACCACAATCATGCATTAACAAGCAATTATCGTGTCTAAGCTTATAGTTTTATATTTTATGGAGCCCTAACGTGCCATCAGTCACATTTATTTGTAATCTTCACCATGCATGAAAACATAATCACCAAATTAAAATAAAAAAAAAATACCGGTAAAATTATGTTACGACAACTACAGATATGTTGGATTCAGTAACTAAAGAATCTTGGCACCCTCCGATGTTCATTTGCAGATGGCGATCTTGTACATTGGCACCCACCTAAATTTCGACAACAAAATTTATTGTAGATTGATGTACTTCTTCTACTGAATGCATATAGGGAAGACATGAGAGGATTTCATTTAGATACACAAAAATTTCCTTAAATTAAATTATTGAACAAAGGAGAAAATTGTTTTGCTAGGAGACAAGGATACGGAAAATCATGGGAGACAAGGAGAATCGGAGCTTCCTTGGCTATATAATGGAGCATGGGAATATGGGATGCATGTGATTTTCTGCAGTACTGTGTTTGTTTCTTTGGCCGTCTCCCGACCTAGAACTTCTCACTCTTTTTGTTTCTTCCAAGTCTATATATAAAAATTAATGTCTTCTTCAATAAACAATCTCTCTTTCATGGCGGTGGCGTACAAGTTACTACAGAATTCAGTGCCCTTGGGATTTTATTGTATGTCGCGGCCGCCCTAGATTCTTTAACTTGGGGTCTAGCTTTGTGCAAAATCAGGTCCCACTTCGTACTTCTTCTTATTCTAATATTTTTTCCGCTACCGTTGGTCAATTGACCTTGTATCTCTGGTTCTAAACTATTAGGCAATCATGACTTGCCAGCCTTGAATGTCTTATAAACTAATTTTAATTAATGACTTTAATAAACACTGGTTGGGAAGAATGTATCGCACTAATGATTTGGGAGACAGGGCAGCAGACGCACGGCATGTACCAGTTGTTTACAATTTGAGGATCGTAAACAAAATTAATCATACCTATTCATATTGTTCATCTCTTGAACCTAACATTAAAGAATGATAAAGGATTGCAGGTTGCTGGCTAAATATGCGACACCGATCTTTCAATTCCATCGCCATGCCAATGATTGGGCTTTGGCATGAATTTTCTTTCTTATAATAAATAGATAGAAGAATTATGAATGTTTGAGCATATATTGACTTTCGAATTTAGTCTTTTGAGCGCTTTTTCTGTGTAAATATGGCAGGCTCATCTGTAATTCATGGGGTGAATGTTCCAGTCAGATCCATTAGCTTGCCATCCAGGTTGCAGCGCAATTCTTTTGAAGCAGAGCTGAAGGAGCTGAAGACATTTGATGTATTGTCAGCTCCACGAACAATTAACGCTGGTGGTGAGACAATTTGTACAGGTTTCACTAGGCTTGCAAAGTTGTATAACAACATTGAGGAAATCCTTCAGTCTCCACTCACTTAACAAGCTCTTCGCCATCAGCAAAATAATGTAAAACTAGTAGAGGAGGCACTTGATGACTCGGTTGGATTGCTGGATGCATGTGGTACCGCAAGAGACCTAATTATGATGATGAAGGAGCAAGTACAAGACCTTCAGTCAGCTTTACGTATGAGGGGCGGAGATTCAAGCATTGGAAGCAATATCCTTGGTTACATCAGCTTTAGAAAGAAGTTGAAAAAAAGCATTACTAAAAGCCTTAGAGTACTGAAGAGATTGGAATGCAGTAATAATGGCGCCTTTCCTCCCTTTGATGTAGATTGCCATCTATTGATGGTGGTAAAAGCACTGAGAGAATCCAAAGCCATCACAATTTCCATGTTTCACTCACTTATGTCATTTCTTTCAATGCCAGTAATGAAAACAAAGGCTGGAGGTTGGTCTTTGATTTCAAAATTGATACCAGTAGCTGCAGCCAAGAGAAGGGAGAAGCTTTTCAATGAGGTGGGGATTGTCGACTTTACCTTGTATACAATCCATGGACAAGTCCCGAAAAATGATGCTAAGATTGATGCACAGACTGAACTAGGGAGATTAAAGACACTGTCTACTAGCATCAAAGATCTCGAGGCAGGTTTAGATTGCCTGTTTAGATGCCTAATCCGAAATAGAGTGCCCTCACTTAATATCCTCACGCCTTGAAGACACTATTGTATACCTCATTTTTCATGCATTGCATCTGCATTTTAAAGGATTGATCCATGTTCAAGAACCTGATTTTTTAAGAGAATTGTATAAGAATCATGTTGAAATCTAAAGGCATTTTATTCTTTTGTAATTTATGCTCTGCCTATGATTTAAAATTAGCATCCCAAATAACTATATCAGTAGTATTTAGGGTGCATTGTTTTCATTTGTGAAATTGCTGGTGCAGCACATTGACTTGCATTCTGAAAGAAAATAACAAAAATGCGTACTTTGCTTCTTTCAATTCCTTGTGATGCATGAGCTATAATTTCTCGTTATAGTCAATGTCAATGATTTCAGGCTTGGTTTATATTAAGTCGAAGCTAGGTCTTACCACCAGTTTAGAAGAACTCATCTATAAACAGAAACAATAATTGTTTTACTAAGTACATCTCACTGGCTCTTCCCAACAAGATTGTCAGTGTTCTCATTGCTTCTAGAATCAGAAAATTAGGAGATAAATCGGAAGAGGTCTTTTATATCTTTCCCTGTAGACATAAGCCTGATGGTTTTAATTGCTTTAACTATATTATTAATTTGCATACTCAATATATTATGTAATCAGCACATAATTTGACAAACAATGAGTTAACTTGCTTGACTGAGAACAACTTTTGCAATGGAGTTTTGGAAATGCAAAGGGGAAACTCTGAGTATGCCTTTCACCTATCAAATATAAACTTTTTACTAGTAACTATTATTGCAAATATAGCATGGAAAACAAGATAGACATAATGATCACCAGCTAATAGAAAATAAGCACAAATAACCAAAACTATTGAAGTTTAACAGATATATGAGGATGTCCATTACTATACTTTTTAAGTTTCAACTACACTTAACTCAGAGATGATAATATTAAATCAATAAACTGTATCACCATTGCCCAAAAAAAAGAGCTTGCAGAAGTTAATGCCTTGCAGCTCGGTTAAGAACAGAACATTTGAATCTTGAACTGCAACTGTCCCCGTAAAGGCCAATTTCATCACCAAGCTTCAGTTCCCGCCTCTTCACAAAGTCCATGACCCAATTCTTGATGAGCACATTGGCACCCTTGTTCCATTGCCTGAAAACCATCTCATGTTCAGTCTTTGTATCACAATCCCACACAAAAACTGGCAACCCTTCTTTAGTTTTCGTAAGTTGATCAGCATTCCAGAAGGGAAAATTATGAGATTCTGCGACCTTCGATGCCAACAAGAGCCTAGACATGTTGCCGATGTCACTTTCAAAAGGCTGCTTTTTAATGCACCCAGGATCATGGCCAGGCCTCAATTCAGTCACAACGGCCTTACAACTTTCTTCTCTCTCAATTTTAGTTCTCTTGTTTCTACAGGACGAACTTTTCTTGTACTGCTAGGATTCTCCATTCTTTCTCTCTTCTTGGAACTGCAAGCGTCATCGAAACCCATGTTCAGTTGCAAAGAAGGTCCTCCAACATTGAGGTTGTTCAGATTATATTCTTCCCTTTGATATTGATTGCTACATTCACTGGCTTCAAGACTCTTCTGGTTCCCTTTGTCAGTCGGAGTACTGCTTTTTTTGGATTCCCAAATACAATCTTTTAAGTGCAACACCTCTGATCCATATTGAAAGGATGTGCACGATGATATATACGTGAATATTAGATTTACCTTGTGAGTTATTTTTTGTGAAACAAAATTATAAGATTTTAAATCAAAATAAATAATTCATCACAAATTAAATATGAATTTCTACAAATAATATCACGATGATATGGATTTTTTCATTAATCATTAGTCGTCGAAAAAACGAAGTGTGATTAAATATTACACTTTGAGTATTTTATTAGAGAAAAACTTAATTATTATGAAATCAAAAAGAAAATATTGAGTTTTTTTTCTCATTTCTTGAAAATGCACAAAATTTATAAAATATTATTTATTTTGATACGAAATATTATTCATTTTAATTCGAAATTTTTATAATTTTATTTTATAAAAACATATCTCAAAAATTTAAATTTAAATTTCGATATATATATATATTATTTTTTATCCGCGTATTCTAAAAAAGAGACAATTCTAATGAAACATTGCTCGGTTCCAATGAAACAGCCTCGCTTTTCTTCTCTATAAAGTTCTTCATCTTTTGCTCTTTCCTTTGATATTTATCATTGATATAATTACTCTCACCGACTTCAAAATTTCCCTCGTAATAAATTACTTTTTTCCCCTTATCAGTTGCAGTTGCAGTTGCAGCAGTGGAGGAATAATCAGTGAAAGAGACAATTCCAATGAAATATTGCTCTCTTCACAAACTCTGTTTTCTTCTTCTGGCCTGTCTTTGTCTGGAGAGAATAAACCAGAAGCAGTAAAGGGCTTGTAATCCATTATTCAAGTAGGCAAGCACAAGGAAACGAACTTTTCTGTTTGGGGTTCAAATGCATAAACCTTTGTTTCGTGAGAAAAAAAAAAAAAAACGCAGCTCTCTCTCCAACCTCTTGAATCTTAGAGAAACTTGTTGAAAAGAAAAACAAACGATGGTAGAACCTGAGAAAGGGTTTCTATAGAACAGAGATGATGCAAATCCTTCTCCTGTTACGAAAATAATTCAGGGGAAAACCTGTTGACCAAGTAATTAATTATGTTGGAGTTGATTTAGGAATTTTAATATCTTTTAAATTTTGCCGCCATAGTTATCTTTTTCAGTTTTTCTTGACTAGTAGTTTTGTGCATTATTAGTTTTTTTTCTGACAATTTTAAACACAGAGATTGAAAGGATCAGTGGCGTATTTAATGCGCTTGGGATCGTTGCTTCTGCTTTTAGAGGTCACAATCTTATCTTTAGAGATTCAGTTAAGTAATTAGAAAAGCTTCGTAAGAACAAAGATTATTCCACGTTGGTATCTTAACAGTATGTCCAAAAGTAACAAAAACATTTGATGTCTGGTATTTGGAGTTTTGAAGTTTATTCTATACTCGTACGAAGGGATTAGAAAATAATAATAAACTCGTTCTCATTTCGAATCTATGTAATGCCAACTTTTGATGACATGGAGCTTCTGCTTCTAAACAGCACAAAGAAAAAGCCTTGCCACCGTTGGCTCCGAGCAGTGTTCCGGACAACATTCGAAATTTTCTCTTTCTTCATGGCGGCCGTCGTTCCATTCTCTGGAAGTGTATCGGGTCTGGCTGGAGGCGTAACTAGCACTGCCCGTCACATTGGCACATCCATCCTGCATGTGGGCTAAGATTAATAAGCCACGAGAGTATGGTGGAATGTGGTGGCTCAACTGGGGCCTCGGGACCTTGGATATGGGAGTTGCAGCTGGGATTCCTGTTATGATTGAAACTGATTTTAAACGGAGCTTATTTGATTAATCCTCAAGAATGAACATAAGCCTAAAAAAGATTTATATATAGATGAGCAAGCAGAAAAAAGGGTTTTCACTTTCTGACGAACTTCTCCCTCAGAGAGAGCACATGCTGTGTGACAGAAATGTACCTAACCGTCCGAGCTTAATTTCTACATCTAAACAACGGGCTTTGAAAATTTCAAAGAATGCCTTGAGATGCTCAGATCCGAATGGCAGTTATATGATGCTTGAAGCTTTAAGATAGATAGGGCATCTTCTCTTCGATTACGCTGAGCCAAATGCATACAGGAGACAATTTAAATCTGGTTAACAAATTTCCAATTCTTCAATACAGAAAAACAAAAGAATCACAACTAATCACCAGTACAAATCTAAACCTCACCAGCATCTTGACCTTCAGCGAACCATATCTAGTAACTCCAACAATTTGGCTGCACATCAGTGCCTCTACACAATCTCACATTAAAATTTTTTAGGTAAAAAATCGTATTTTCGTAAATGATACATTGCCCTACAACATCAGCAGCAACGACAGGTTAAAACATCTAAGCAAGTGTAGGGCCTTGACTTTTCTTCAAGTTCTTGGGCTGAGGGCAAAGATTCCAAATGGTATATGCTGCATACACAACAGAAGTCGTATAAATTGCTGCAAACTCCTTGACTAAAAGGATAAACTCGCTCAGGAATCCCCCTGTATATAAAATATAAGTAAGCTGTCAACACACAGTCAATCAATTACAAAAACAGTCAATCTGTGCAGACTAAAAGGTCGTGAGCTGAGATTCATAGCACATATATTTGGTATTTGAGATTATCAAAATTTGAACCCAGCTTACCAGAACTAAGAGTTCAGTACTCTACCAACTGATCACATGACTGTTGGCTTCATAGCACAGATTTACGCTCCTGATTTTCTCTCATTAATGCTTTACTCTCACTTCATACCAACAGGTAACTAATGAAATGTATTATATCAAAATCAAATCATGGTAGTCTTTTGATCTGAAGTTAACAATTCCACTGATATACATAATGACATGGTGTTGTACCTTCAAGACGAATCAATTGCACAATTTGCATGATGCAAAACAGTATGAAGAGAATAAAAGCACCCACTAACCTTAGATATGGGATACGCCTGCGTCTAACAAGTTCATATGTAGTCTGATTTGTTAGAACAAGATAGCTGCATGCAAAATAAAGGTTCCTGTATTAGAACAGTGCTCATGGTGGACAACATGAAACTAATCTTCAAAATCTGAAATTCGATGCTGAAACAAGTAAAAATTACCAAAGTTACCTGTGAAAAAGTAGAAGAAGAAGTAGAAATATTATGGAAATTGCCATGGCAATCAATAGCAGAATCATGATAGCATCCTTCCACCTATCAACAATATTTTTCTAGGTCAACTTTCAGATAACATGTTAGAAAGAAAAAGGTACTGTGATATGATAACATACCAAGCCCTTGATATGTTGGCCTTCAGGTATGTAATGTACAAGATGCCAGTCCAGAGGCACAATGCTGTCTCTTCACAAATGTACCACCTAAATTTACAAATTGTAACAGGAGAATACAAATCAGTTCCAAATTAGGAAAACATATTTCAAATATATGAAATTATTAGTGTAGGTGAAAGAATATTAGCATGCATGAAAAATCATATATGTCACTCCTGGAATGAACAAAAGTTGGATGTGGTATGTAAACAGTATAAAACCAATTCAGTTAATAATGCAAAATGGGAAAAATCCTCAATATTTTTAATCAGTTTATGACGAGTTTTTTTTTACACAGTTCCAACACCCTTCTCATTAGATAATAAACATTATACCATAGAAACTTACATAAGGGCACAAATTATAGGTAAAGTCATAAAGAACATATCAAATATAACGTAAACTCACCAAAATTTGCAATGATTGCCCTGGCCAATGCATGTTCCAAGCCATACACAATGATGATCAAACTGAAGAACACATTTATCACAATCATGACAATGCTTTGCTCGTGGAGGCTGCAATTATACAAGAAGAAATATAAGTAACAATCGCATGGCATGTAAGGTACTAAGAGCACATAAAAGTAACAACCAAAAAGATAGCTGGATAATCAGAATCAATTTTGCAATAAACATCCACTCAAAAGCTACAATAATGACTCTGGTTAACATCGTTTCTGACTAAATAGTCTTCATGCTCACTGAGAAAGCCACAAATATTCATACATGCATTTTTTTAATACTAGACATTAAACAAAGCCAAGAATAAACATCCACCATCCAGGTAAGTATAACAGCACAAACAGAGGTCACCAAGAGATCTTGATTCACGGAAAATAAGTTGTATCACATGAAGGACCATAAACATGAGATATTTTTACCTGCTCAACATTACAATAGAAGCAACTGAAAGCCCTGCAAAATCCAAAAGAAAGCAATTAGTTTTATAATTTTCAATAAACTTCCCATAACTTCCCTCTACTTTTGCTTGATTGTTTGCATGACAAAAACCAGATTAAACTCAACCTGCTGGGGTTAAAACAAACAAAACACCAAGACTCATATGTAATTTGTTTAGCAGACATGCTTAGCAACATAAAAGTAAAACTAGTGAGACAAAGAGGTTAAAATCTTAAATCCACACTTGTGTTGGATTTATAAAAGCAACAAGGATAAGGAAGTAAGAGGCAAGAACAACAAGCAAGGCACGACAGAGAGTACCATGATTGCTTAACTTAGTTGGCACTTGGCACCTATCCAGATCCATAAACAAATTCTTTGAAAAGGTTATTGAAAGAGATTATTCACAAAGTTAATAAAGTTTTACACACCTAATGGACGTTCCAGGTGGATACATGTCCATCACCAACTTTGTCCAAGATGCGGGATTACTTCCTTGAAAATTTCTACCTGTTTGACTCCCTTCTATGGTGACAATCAAGCTTCCATTTTTGCTTGAAGCAGGCTGTCTTTGCTTAAACATTATAACAACATGATAAATAGTAAGATTCCAAGTATAAATCCACTTTTATTTCTCTTAGATCATTATATCCAGAATAATTCAGCTATAACTTCTAAAGGATGGAAGATATAAAGAATAGAGAAGGAACAAAAAGAAAAGAAAAATACTTACTTTGAGGCCGTTGATGATTTCTTATACATCACATTTGTCTCATTAACAGCCCTCATTGCATCAAGGACATAACTAAACAAAACAAACACATTAGAGGGAAAATGTACTAATATATTATACAGTTCAAAACATTGATATTGAGAGTGAAAGCATGCTGATATTTACCCGGGAGAAGAACCAGAAGTAATAAAGTATTGGACCAATGTGGCAAAAAACAACAACAAATATAAAGCAGTGTACCTGAGAAAATGGGAAAGAATTATATTCAAGTTTGCAGTTATGTAGCAATTATACACAAAAAGCTTCAAAAGAAAACGCTAAACCAAATGACTTTAGCAAGAAGGAATTGAGACATCTGCTAAGAACAAGATGTGTCTAGTTGCTTTATATATTTATATATTATTTTGCAATACACAGCCTAGTATTCCTCATAGACGTTAATATGCAATACAAGCATAAACTTGAGGCCAAATCAATCATTTCATGAACTTTAAATTTTTATTGAAAATAAAAACAATTGCATTGTCACACACCATGGTTCTTTTTTCGTTTTCTCAATCAAATCACTATCGAACAGGAAGAGAATGCCAGCGTATATCAGATGCAGCATCACTAACGCCACTTTCAAACCCAACGATGATCTCCAGGCTAAGAACCCACCATTAATAAAACCAAATTAATTATAAAAAAAGGGTTAAAAGCCAAAGCAAATGAGGAAAATTAATTGTGAAAAAAAAAAAAAAAAAACCACGCTTACAAAGTAAAACGGACAAAATGGAAAGTAATTAACTTATTATCCGCACTTCAACTGAATTTTGAAAAACAAAAACATAGTAAAAAGCACCCTTTTTTTTTCTTTTCTTTTGTCGGAAAAAAACAGAAAAAAAGTACCAGGATCGGAGAGACAAGGGAAGCAGTGGAAGCATCGGTCGAGAGCTCGATCGCGAAAGGTGCGGCACATAGCTACGATCATCGTCATAAAACAAGGCCCCCCAAGAACAACAAAAGTTCAAAATCAAATCACTAAAGGACACCACTTGTTCCAACAAAATGCTTATTTTTTCTTTCTGTTTTTCCACGGAAAAATTTTCTTTTCCTCTGTCTTGCTTATGTTTTTTGAGGAAAGTGACGGCAGGTTAGAAATTGGCAAAAACCCAAACTCCAACTAACAAAAAAAGCCACCTCAGAGAAGATTGCAGATAAACTTAAGAAGTTAAAAAGAGTTTCAACTTAGCTGTCGTTGGATGATTTAATTTGATACTTGTTGCGGTAGATCACACCCTCATAAAATCCATGTACAGCCCATCTTTTATTGACAGGAGTTTATAATAGCCTATGGGCTTTAAGTCCTTAACCCTAAAGCTCATATTCCAAATTGGGCCAACTAAATTGCTCACCTACAAATTAGATTAGGCCTTTCATGAGAATATAATATTGGGCTTGCTGAAATTAAATATTTGAGCCGCCAGAAAAATTAATGTTCCAAAGCCATTGACCGACCCAATACGCCCGTACATATATCCATACGTAAGATGATTCACCTCAGAAATATTCACACGAAACACTCGGTACCGATAATTTAGCTGAAGCCTGACAAAATTTACAAAAGGAAAAGGAAAGAAAAATTAATAATAATTTGACTTCGTTTTTTTGGGCAAGTGTGAAGGAGAGGGAGGCTCGGATTAGTTTTGGGAGTGGATTCTGATAGGGCCCTTGCCCTGGGCATGACCCATTGACCTTGGCCAGGATTGCTTTGGTGTGGGCGTATGAGAATCGATTTTGGATTTTGGGGCAATTGGTTGATGTTCCACGTGTACAAGGACGACGCCAGACGTTGAGAAATGTGCAGATATGATCAATCTTACGTCCCCACCTCTGGCAGTTTCAAAAGTTTCAAACTTATCCATGCAATTGTCCGTCTGACATTTCTGATTCCTTTGTATTTATCTCATTCCTTTCAACTGATTAATAACCGCTTCAGCTTTCGTGGTGTTGATGCTCCTCTTTCACGACAAACTCCATTAAATAAAAACCTTTAACCGCCATGACCATCACTACTATACATAATCAATCTCTCTCTTGTACAGGAACATCTTGAGAAAAACTCTTGGAAAAAGTTTCAACAATACCAACAACTATGGAAGCAACATCGCTTTTTTCTTCTTCTTGCTTCACTGCCTCTTCCCCTCCTTCAGCTCTTTGTCCACCTCAAAATCTCGATCACAGGTTACTTCCCAATTCTGTACTTTCTTTTTTTACGTTCTTTTTTCTTCTTAGAAGTTCTTCACTTCTTATACAATTTTTTTTCTTTCTCAGGGGCCTGTTTTCATTAACTGTAAATCGCCGGAGATGTCAAATATCTGTTGTGGGCAAAAAATTGAGCTTCTGGTACGGACACCCAGAGAAACTATTTTATTTAGTATTATGACATTAAGTTCTCATTTCTATGCTTACTATTTTGGCAATTACTTGAATACTTTTTGGTTCTAAATCTGAAGCCAAATGGCAGTTCTGAGAGGAAATGTGCGGGCAACAGGAGTTCCAACTTCTGTTCCAGTAAGAGTAGCACATGAGCTTCATCAAGCTGGGCATCGATATTTGGATGTCAGGTTTTTTTTTTTTTCTGGTTTGATTGACAGTAAAAAATCCAATTGTTAGAAAGCAAGGGCTTGAAGAAGCCAAATTTTGAAATGTTAAAGAGAGAGTTCTGTTCTACTTTTCTTTACTTTCTTTATGATTGTTGCAATTTGTGTAGGACACCCGAAGAGTTCATTGCAGGGCATGCACCTGGGGCTATAAACATCCCTTACATGTACAAAGTTGGATCAGGTTACTACCTACTCTTCTTTTTCAGCTAATTTATCTCTCAAGTTACCTTCTTTCTAGCAAAATGGGGACATCGACTGATGTCTACCGTCACAAAATAGTGGCTTTACTTCTAACTTAAGGTTGCTTGCCATTCGATAGGCACTTGCTTGCCTAATGCGGTGGCATGCATGACAGGATGTAGTTGTCTTTTCCTGCAGCTGAATTAGCAATTTCAAATGGCTCTAGCCATTTGTTTATTCTAAAAGTTTTGTTTCTGCCTGCAGGAATGACAAGGAACCCCAATTTTCTGGCGGAAGTATCATCACACTTTGGAAAATATGATGAAATTATTGTTGTGGGTTCCTATTCCTAATATCTGATTTCTAAACGAACCGAAACCTTTTTCTTTCAGAACACCCCCTCCCCGTCCTCTTTTTCTATGGTCCTCTTGCAATGTTAAAATTACCTGGTTATGCAGGGCTGTCAACTTGGGAAAAGGTCTCTAATGGCAGCCACTGATCTTTTAGCTGCTGTAAGTACATCATTTATCATCCTTAATCTATCTAATTTGGCTCTAAATCAGCCATAATTTATGTCTATTGAAATAGAAAATAAACATATTGGTTTGGTTGGATATCAGCATCACTTTTAGGAACTAAATATTGAATCTTTGCACATATAGGCTGATCTTTGAGTTAAGCCTTAATCTTTGAATTATTGAACTTGGTTTCAGACTTAGCTACCCTCAACAAATTAATCTTACTCCTCCTTATTGGCTAATCTACATGTTCAAGATTTATAAAAGCTAATTACAACTTCATCATTAACTCTTTTTCAGGGGTTTACAGCCGTTACGGACATTGCTGGAGGGTATGCGGCCTGGACTCAGAATCGGCTTCCAATAGAATGATGATTCTGCAGGCTAACTGCGGAGAATGAGCTGCTGATACAATAAATAAATTGGAGACAAATTATAAATGTTAAGTGAGGAAAAATGCAAGGATAACCACATAGCAGTAAATATATGGCATTTACCAGATGTATGTGAACCTGGATACCTGGAGGAAGTAATTCCTGATCTTCTGTATGGAAAAAGGAAACAAACAAATAATAGAGGAGTGGAACTTGTAAACTTTGTACATAAAAATCTCGTCTTTTCTATTTGATAGAAAAATCACTGCTAATCCATTACCATAAGGACCGATAATGACTGCCAAGGCAAGCACGTTCACGTCTAATAGATTGTTTTGAACCTTACGATCTCTTCCTATCAATGTCACTGTTGGAGTTATTTGTGTCCCTGTGCCAGGTTTTACTTTCTTTTGTTTAATTAGGAAAACAAACAAATAGCTAGAGAAGATGAGGACATTAAATCAGATTGGAAACTTATAGCTCAAGCAAGAAAGGTTGCAAAGATGGGCACTGCTAGAAACTGGTTAAGCACAGTCCGAAAGAAGTTCACCAAATCATCTCAAAGAGATATAACCATTCTCCACAGCGGGAATCTGGGTGACCAGTCTATGACTAGAGAAGCTGGGGACTTCCACAACAACATCTCAGCTTCATCAATGTCATCATTTCAAAGAAAACGATTAACCAGAGAAGACGTTGCGGCAATTAAAATCCAATCAATTTTCAGGGGTCATCTTGTAATTACATCCATCCTAATCCAATTTCGTTTTCAAAGATTTTCTCCTCAGAGCTAAATTAAACTAATACCATATATTTTTCTGGTTTCGATAATTGAAAATGGAAATGATAACAATTTCAATTTAACGGGCAAGACGAGCATATAAAGCATTGAGAAGCCTAGTTAAGCTGCAAGGAGTGGCCCGAGGGGCGTATGTAAGAAAACAAACACAAAAAGCACTGCAATGTTATGCATGCACTTGTCCGGTTACAGGTCAGTGTTCGTGTCCGGTAACTCCTTGGCAGGTTTAGCGACCACCAGTGATTCGCCGTGACCATGAGGCATCATTTTCCACGTAACCATCGAGCATTTGCTATCTTTTTGAAGTCATGACCTTTTAGCAAGCAATAATTCCTGCACTCTTCTCATTTCAAAATTGCGAGAACCATGCCTAGTCTTGATTAAGGAGTTCGAAGAGGGAATGTGATAATGATGAATTAGCACAATATCTCAAAATATTCTACATTTTTACAACTGATTCCTCAGATTGTATCTAATCCTTGTCCTTTACATGTTATTTATTTATTTTGCTTTGCCTTTCCCGCCTAAGATTTCGCTCCTTTGTCGGGGGCAAGATTCTTTATCTAATCACTACAACATAAAATGGTTGACCAAACCAAACTGCAGACAATAGGAAAAAGCAGAGACGAGCGGGTGAGCGTTTTTTTCACCAATCATCCACTTCTCGCTCTTTATATAACAAGCCCATACGAAGTTCTTACAGCAGTTTTCAGATGACCCGCATGATACAGATTGCGAAAAGAAAATTTGAAAGGGCAAGTATTAGTGTTTTACATAACAGAAGAAAGAAAAATTGGAAACACAAACACACACACAGCAACTGTAACTTAAAAGAGTGCTAAAAAGTGAATCGCTCTCTTCACCCAGACCGCTGTACTGAATAGCTCATCATGCATAATTCTATACAATGCAAAAAGCATATGATAAGATACGCCAAGTAGTCAGACAATAATACATGTAGTTCAGAGCCTCTTTTCTCTTGGGTTCAATGGTTTCCCCTTATCATAGCTGAGAAAAAACCGCCAGATGACTTGCTCTTGCGGCCATTTTCCTCATCTGCAACCTGTTACAAAAGTACCATGCTTAGAATTGTTTCATGGGATGACAAACATCAAGTCCTATGAACACGTACCTCTTTAGCTATTTGTTGAAGGATATCAATGATTTCAGAGAAGTTAGGTCGTTGAGTTGGGTCCTGCTGCCAGCATCTCTCAAGCAGTTCTCCTAGTCTTGGGTGAGTATTCTTTGGGATTGCAGGGCGTAGACTCTGAAAAGATCGTTATAAACAAAATATCCTCATTAGCAATGAAAAATAAATTCATTGATTCATATTTTTACAGAAATTCAAGTACCTTTTGCACCACACCAACCGCTGCTTGTAATGGAGTTAAGAGAGCATATGGGAGCTGACATTTTGAATGTAAGAATAAATCAGTCATAAAGACATATAATCTCAAACTACCATACTTGTAGATGAGAGAAAGTTTGCCACAGACAAGTATGCACACTCAAAACCAAATTTCATCCTCTTAAAACAGTGAGTCTTACTTCTCCTGTTAGTAGTTCCCAGAGTGCTATTCCAAAGCTAAAAACATCTGCCTTGTGATCATATGGTTTGTGCTCAATCACCTACATTAATTAAATATTGGTAAAAGAAATATTATAACCCTTTATCTACGCATGGTAGGGTCAATTAAAGTATAAGTGTAAGGTACAAGGTGGATCAAATGACAAAACAAAGAGTAATAAAGTGGAAGTCCATTATATATCATGGGTTAACATTACAAATGATTCTTTAGCGTTGACATGGAAATTAGAGAGCTTGAGCACCATAATCACATGTTTTGATGATCATGAAGCAACATAAATAAGAAAAGTATAATGTAAGGTTATCTAAGTAGTTAATTACTATCATGTTGATTGGCCAAAAAAAATATTACAATCATGTAAAGAATATACGGGAGAAAATATGATATCCAAGAAAAACGCATACCTCAGGAGCCATCCAGCGGTATGTTCCAGTTTCAGCTGTCATTACTCCTGATTGAGATTGCACCCTAGCAACTCCAAAGTCAGCAACTTTAACAACCTGGCAAGGAAGGACCGACAATTTTAGAACAAATATCAGAAGTAAATCTATTCTGCTATTTACAGCATACTATAATTCGAAAACACAGATGCATTTCCAATTCCAATGTAAAATCAAATCTCTATCTTCTAAGCCCATAACTAAGATGCATAAATAAGCCCAAATAATAAACTCAAAAATGATAAGTCAATAAAGAAGTACATCACAACAAGATCAGGTGTTGTTTTGAGCAATAAAGTGAAAATTTTATAGGATAAAGAAGACAAAAAACTAGCTGAAAAGAGAATTAGTTTTGTAAGTCAAAATTCATATTGGGAAAAAAAATCATCTTACTTTGACTTGATTAACAAAACCATCTTACTTGATTTTCATCCATCAGAAGATTGGCAGTTTTCAGGTCCCTGTGGATGATGTTATTTTGATGCAAATAGTTCATTCCCTTGGAAACGTCAATCGCTACTTTAAGTAGAGATGGCAACTTAAAAACACCCCTTTGCTTATGCAGATAGTCATATATGCTACCTCTGGCCATGAACTCTGATAAAGAACAAATGTCACTGTCAAAAACTATCAGTAAAATGAAATGAAATGAAATGTTTCTGTTTTTTTAATTAAGTTACAGAGTTTATCATCAAAGAATTAAAAGGGATGAAAAGGCATACGCATTCAAAATTTTAAATTTTGGTATAAAGATGGGAATTCACAGACACTAAATTCGTAATGGTAGGTTTTGTGTCATTCTCTCAATTTGCACTCCAAAGCCACAATTGTTCCCTTCTAGCAACATAATTATAGATTTTATCTGGTAAGGATCAAAAACATCAACACTTAACAGCACTATTGTTGAAGAACAAGTTTCAAAAGTTTATGCATTAAAGAAGTTATAGATCATAGTAAATCATAGCTGGAAAAATTCATTAGATTATACCAGTCACGATGCACAGGTTTGGAGCTCTTGTACATGCACCTATCAATTGAACAACATTCTTATGCCGAATTTTCCTGCAAACAGGAAAAAAAAAAAGGTTGATATTCCACTGCATGTGCGTCAGCCTTGAAGAAAAGTACCAATCAATCTCACCCTCCCAGTAACCAACTCTATGATTAGCACATTAATACGTTCAGTAACTTGGGAAATTCTTAAATTCAACTATAATATGTGCTAAACCATGAGATAGCTGGATGAACCCTGCCACAGTTTTCAGGTAATTCACACCCAACATATATATAGACTGACAAATGGCATCATTTTGAGTTCTACAGGAGGCTATTAGGAATATGCTGGAATTCAGACTTCATTAGAACTCCCAATCAAACTAAAAGTAGAGTAAATGGCAATGTGCACGGAAAATAGATATTAAGCAGATTGCAAGCTAAAAATGGCCTATTTCAGAGCTTTGTCTCTCTGAAACATCCCAACCTCCTTTTAGTGTTAAACTGTCCAACTTTTAAGAACAAAACAGCAAAAACAGTTATCCCCTTTGGGTCTTTTTAGTACCGAACACCCAATTTTTCCGGTATTTATTCATTTGAAAATTCAGACTAGCTATAGAGGGGTACAAAGAGAAGGGATGGAGAATATGCGCTTGGAAAGGCATGTGAAGAATGGAGGGAAACATTCAAGAAAGCAAAATTGTGCCCAATAAATTGGATAGTCATGGAAATAAACATGACTTTTGAATGATCTCATCTTACAAGAGGAACTATGAAAGGAAGACTATAACCTCCAGGAAGCCAAACATCGCCTCAAAATCCCTGGATATAACAATGGAAGGTTGATAAATCAATTAACTCTCCTAGAAAAATATCAAGAACTCAAGATAAAGTCTCTTGTAAAGAACTTGAATTTTAAAAATAGCTCCTACGACTCATAGGAGACTTCAAGATGATGATTTCCTTCTTCCCTAATCATAACTTCAGTTCTATTCACGTGTCTATTATAACACTGAACATCAGCGTGTCCAGCAATTAAAATTTGGCCAAGCTTTAAGTAGTCATTTTTATGCTACAAATTAAAAGATCCATCTTCTTATCGGAGATGTGGCAGGTTCCCTTCACAAGAATTAGCATATATTAGTATTCCAACAAACCTCATAATATAAACTTCCTGAGAAAACTCCCTCAACATTTCTCCTGTAACCTGCTCAGGCTTGAGGACTTTAATAGCCACCTCTTGACTACAATATGTGCCTCTGTATCTGAAAATGTTAAATTTGATGATGGGTTAGAATTCGTACTCTACCCAAACAAAAAGTGAAGGAAGCAGACATGAAAATGACAAAACTTACAGATCACCATATGACCCAGATGCAATCTTGTTTTCAATTTTGAGCTGCCTGGTATCAATTTCCCATACATCAGTTCCATCTGTAGGAATTTCAACACAATCGGGCAAGGAAATGATTCCTTCTTTGATATGCTCAGTCATAGCAGATATTGAACTCTTCCTTGAATATGATTGCTCCTGCAGCCATAATAAACATGATTACCACTATGATTTTACAATTAATAAAGTAGGTTGATCTACTGAAAAGCAGTTGGTATGCCTTTGTTAGCAGGATATTGCTAAAAAGCTAAGAACCTTGTAGCTGAAAAGTGAAAACCAAAATTAACCTTTTCACCTTCAGATAAGTTATATTTAGCACTTAACCTCTTCAATTATGAAGAGTACAAGTAAAAGCATCAATTGGATATTCTTTAGTTTCTTGCATCATCAAATATTAAGCATTAATACTTTCAATCAAACTATTGGCTCACAAATACAGAAACAAATATTAAAAAAAAAAAATTCATTTTTCTGCCAACATAAAGGCAGATTACCAGCAATATTCAGCTCATAAGGCTTGATTCAGCAGCAAAAGATATATATAATGTCATTCATTAGCAGCACAATAAAAGTAAAGGAATTCATTAGCAGCACAATAAAAGTAGAGGAATGTAAGTAACATGGAGGAAAAGGTACCTTAGACTTTAAAATTTCATTCTCCAATGCATTTTTGAGCTCCTCGATTTCCTAATAGATTAATGAGTGAATAATTGTTTTCCAGCTTAGCAATAAGAATTTGATCCAATTATTAGTACGAAGAATATAAAAGCATACCTCAAATGGCCAACCGTCAACAACAAAAACATCCAAAGAATACCCATCAACAGTGGAAAAGGCATGAGCTTCTTGAATGTTCAACCCAATCTCCGCAAGTAAAGAAGTCAACTGCAAAAATAATCATCAAAATCTACCATTTATTGCAACAGAAAGTTCAAACAAAACATTCCAGATGGGATATTCCCACAACAAGAACATAGTCAAATGCAAATGCCAAATGAAGTGTTAAAAATTTATCTTTTCTTTTATGTAAAATTCAGCGATTTAAAATACCAAGACAGGATTACAACATTTTTCAGGTTAAGAAACAAAAAGATAGCTATCTGAAATATTCAACAAAACAACTGAAGAGAAAGTATTCAACTACCTGACTAAGGAGTTTAGGCCTGTCAACTGTTGAAAAGGTGATCTCGTGCATAGGCCTACAAGAATCCAAATTGCAAAATAATATTTATGTCAAATTAAGTTGTGCAGCTATTACCAAGAAGCAAATGATTAGACTTTGTTTAAATGAAACAAGAAAGCAAAATAGATATTGGTTAAGCTCATGGCCTCCTGAGCCACATAATAACCAGATAAGAAAGGAGAAAGCCACTTTGCATGATAATACTAAGGAGGGATAGCGATAAACTCATCAAAATCCTTACCGGGAAAGATGTGATGTTGAATTCACAGCACTGTCTCCATCTTCAACATGATATCTACTTGCTTGAAGTGCAAGAGTTTCAAGATTAGGCGATGAACCAAAAGTCGGAGGTGGGTGGATGCTGAAGACAGACAGAAAAGGAACAGCATGAATGCCAAAAAAAAAAAGAGAAAAGCACAGTTAAGTTTGGATATAGAAGGAAAAAGGAATAAGAGGCAAAAAAATTCATACATATATAACTTTTACTACAATAAGCCTTACCCTTGTCTATTTGAATGATAAACACTTTGTGCATCTTCTTTCATAGAAGAATCAGAATGAACAGAGTCAATAGAAGGCGCGGTGGAGACAGAATAGACCTACAGAAGATACCAGAATCACACAAAAATAGCAATTTGACATACATCAGTCAATACTAATCATGTCAAAACTAAGCTACATTCAATCTTCAGAATTCATGATGCGAATGAAGTATTCCACAGTCAAAGAGAAGTTGCAAATAGGATTGGCAGACATGCAGAGACATATACCTGCACAATACGAACTTCAAAAACAGGACGATTAGCAGGGTCTTCTGCCAAATGCAGTAATCTTTTATGTGTTAGCACATCTTCTGCCCGCTCCACATTCACATCTAATGCGTATCTATCAGCAGTAACATAAATCTCAAAACATCACATAATTTAGATTAAGCTCAAGTTATAAACTTTTCAAAAAAGAAATGGCACCATTAATTTCAAATTTCATTAACTAGACTAATGTGGAAAGATAAAATGAAAAAGATGAGAAAAGACAAACAGAAAGTTTCAACTTGACACGACTGCTTCGTTGATTTGATTTGAACACTTTTTTCTTGTTTGTTAACGACAAAATGATATTTTTTTAAAGGGGGATGATAACAATGAATCTTACACCAATTGTAAGATTCATGAATCTGATCTGAAACTTATCCGTCCAATCATCAGCAACCAAACAATCATTTTAGAAAGTTTAAAAAGAAAAGGTACAGAATCGAACAAAAGCAGAAATCTAGGGTTAGACTTAATACCGAGCAGGGAGTCGATTGAAATGAAGCCAGAGCTGGTCATCGAAACCGGGAAGATTAGCTTCCTCGTAATTAGAGTCCTGGATACGCTTAAGCACCTCGTTGTAAACGTCCAGCTTTTGCCTATGATGTCGAGGATTTACATGGGCCATCGAGTCCACAGCTCTACTCCCGCAGCTCTCGGTATCCTCTTCAATCGGCATTGGAGTCTTACAACAACCACTGTCACTATCCAAAACTAATTCACAGAGAAATCAAGGGCTCAAAGATTCATTAAAGAAATTAGAAAACAAAATGAAAAAGAAACGGACAAAGTTTATTATTTGCTCGAATTGATAAAATTTGGGGAGGATAAAGAAAAGGAGAGAGATGAGACGAAACAAAAGCTCTAAAAGAGAGAGAGAGAGAGAGAGAGAGAGAGAGAAAGATACGGTGGTGTTGATGTGTGTCACTACGAGTACTGAATGTATTCTATGTTCAGTCAGGAGGTCTCCACGTCATCACGGGGACCACCAGCTCGCCATATGCCCACATATTATATTGTTATAATAATGAATATATGTTTAATTATATTAATTTTATTTATAAAATTAAAAAACTTATTTGTTAGTATATTAAATTATTTTTTAAAAAAAAATTGTAAGGATTGAGAGACAGTGCAATTAATAAAATCAGGCTTACAAAGTGAATAAATCACAAAACACAAACTCCCCGTATGCATGCATTCATATACTATATGATTATTTCTTTCCTATCAAGTAAGTGCTTTTTTTTAACCAATAAATCATTGATTTCTTGAATTAAGGTAATGGATGAGTGATGAAGTATAAAAATGATGAAGAAATAGAAATACACATTCAAGGATAGTTGACCCTTCCCACTTTGTGATATACCATCAGCTGCTCAGTTCTGGTCTGATCTGGTCTGGTCAAGAGCTTCGTCATTTCTGTTTTTGACTTTATTCTCAAAAGCTTAGGTGGAATCCAGGTGGATAGATAAGAACTGTACAACGACATGAGGTGGCAAATGATGCCCGTTGAAGGCGGTTTAACTATCCTGTTCAACATGGGAACTGGGCCAACTCCCCTAACTGGTGCATAAAAATAATTGTCTTTGACGTCGAGTCAGCCCATCACAAACCCACTTAACTCAAGGATTTCATTTAGTTCACCCATGGATTCAAGTCCCTTAAGTACTGCCGGTTTGGATCAGGGAATTTGTTCACCAATGTCGGAAATTAAATATTAAACTGAAGAGCCATGGCTCATTAGTTGACATGATAACGATCGAGCACACTTTGCTTGTAGCCTTAAGTTTGATTCTATTGCTAATAATCCTTTTTTATATACAATCTCTAAACTTAATATTGGTTCTAAAAAAATTATTACGTTTTGACTTTGAAATAAAATAAATTTTTCGTCTCAAATTTTTTAATAAGAAAATTTCAATTAAAATGAATAAATACAAAGGAAATTAGGGCTATCTAATTCCATCTAACCAATTATTCATAATTTTAAGAGAAAGGCGTAATTAAGTAGTGCAAAGTCAATTATAAAAATGGTGGTTACAATTTCTACAAGATCATATATTATATACATGGATAAAACATAAGAGAAAAAGGCAACGTGCGGACATGTTACTAGTTTAATGTAGTTTCTGCTACACTTCTCTGCAAGTAGGGGGAGCTAAGCCCTATGCTTTAATCGACCAACTGCAATCTCTTCTATCAAAGTTGAGCCAGCTGGCTGTCAAGATGGATGAACAATGATACTGAATTAATGAACCGTGAAGGAAATGAAACGGAGACAGGAGAGGCTCCAGAACCTGCATTACAAAACTCTAAATCTTTTCCTTGTTTATTGCATATAGAACCAGTAGTTCTATGGACACCCGCGAGGTTAATACAGGATGTAGGGTACACCCCCCCCCCCCCCCCAACCCTCCTCTCTTTTCTTAGGGCATAGGCTATGAAGGGTTGAAATTATGGGTGACATGACTTTCAACGACTTCCTAGTTCCTAAACTAACAACGGTAACCCATTTTAATTAGAACCATCGATCACGAGACATCCAGCTCCACCCCATACCAACCACAGTAAACATTGGAATGATAACAGTACTAAATCTTACTCGATTAAAGAAAAATCATATTTTGCTCAACCATTAATTAATCACGTGTTTTGATACGATGTGACTTAAAAAATGCATACTAGTACTAAAAAACTAATACTCCCGATCGATCGAGTCACAAATCAGCTGCAAAGATCGGGTGGAGCTGCTTCGCACCTGTTTTTTTTCCCCATTTTTTTCTGATATAATTTGATTCTGTTTCTGTTTCTGTTTCATTTTGATCTTAATTTGATAGGCAGTATAAAAATCCTCAATGCATGAAATAAGAGCATAAATATTAGTACTACAAACTTCAAATAAAACCAACAAACCGAAGGCAAACGTTAGAAAATCAGTTCATGGACGAGAACAAACCTTTGTGCTCGATCTTTCGCAGATGAAATTAAGCTTGGAGATATGAAAGAGTACTAAGATATTGGCACGGCTCAATCAGACCAAAACTACAAATGCTTTAATCTTCAGAAAGTGTTTTGTTTCATGTCCGAGTGAACCAAGCCAATATCACAGTTACTATTTCATGTAGTTTTAGAGCGTAAAAGCGAGTCTCTTCTGTGCCTTACGTGCAGTTTGTCCCAGCAAGATCCCTAATGAAACAAAAAGCAATGAAGACTGACGAATCATGAATCGTTAGAGGATCAAACATAGAAGACTGAAGAATATAGAAAGGACAGATGGGTAGAAGAAGAGCAAACACAAACACACACACACACACAGGAGAAGTTTGAAGTGGAAGTTGTCGTGAGGAGAGGTAAGAATGTCTGGGTGGGGATTTAAGAGAGTAAGAGGGTCAGCACGAGCATTTAAAACTGCTACTACCAAAGCAGAAAGTTGGCCAGTGCATTTAAATCCATTATTCTCCCTCCCTCCCTCAGTCCAATCCATGTTTCTCTCTTTCTTAATTGCTCTCTGAATCATGAAGCGAGCCTTAAATTTTATCGACCTTTTTTCACGAGACACCCTCTTCCAAAACTAAGCTTTTATTTGAGTAATTCAATAGCTAAAATAACATTGCATGGACCTGCAAAGGTTTTTAAAAGGATTGACCTGATCTGTCGCTATTCAAATTACCTTGTGCTAAATTTGGAACATATGGTTATGCATCTAATATAGGTAAAGTCAATTTTTCCTTTATTTTTCTCTATATTTGAAAGGTTATAATCTCATCGCACTCATATATACATCTTTAAGATTCCATATATGTATCCTTTTATGAAAAAATCCAATATAGTAATTTGGTAGGAATATATATATATATATATATATATATAGAGAGAGAGAGAGAGAGAGATGGAATTAAAGCAATTAATTTTATTAATCGTAATATGCTAATTATTAGAACAGTGGAGCCCAAACAATTTTAGCATGAATTAAATTCAGAATAAAGTAGCGGTGAAATATGCCTGTGTGAGATCCTTAATTAATTCTTAACACGAATGGTTAAGCCAAGTAAGAAAATATAATAAGAAGGGGTAGTGAAATTGTCCTTTAAGGAGAGCGCATGTCATGTGGTCGTACGTTGTTAAAGCGAGATGAAGCAAGAATTCAAAGGGTGGCCCAACACGGAGAGGTAGCCCATGCCATGATCGTGATACTGATACTCTCTGCATTAACCAACCAGAAAGACCACCATGATTAATGAGGGAATCTCTGTGGGACCGACAGACCGCAACATTAATAGGCAACGAGTCAGACTAGTTTTAGAAATTGCAAGTGTTGTTCAATCTGTATTTGGTTGGAAGATAATTTAATTGATCACTTACGAATTAATTAGACTTATGATCAGAGAAGAGACTTGTAAATTCTGCTTTTAATTAATTTTCCAACCAAACGTGATTGCTGCTATATTTATATATTAGTTTAATTATAACTACCATCCTAACAAAAAAAAGAAAAATAGAACTGTCAAAGATGAAGAGATGCATGAGAAGTTTTTATTAAAACATTCAACCAGCAAGTTAAGCCAAAACCCAGAACTTTAATTTAATTTTGTTTGTCTGGGGTTACAAATCAAGAACTTTTTCAACAATTTTAATCTCTTACAATTAGAAATATTTAATTAAACAAAATAATAATGAGGATTATTGGTACAAAACATTAAGAATTTTGTTAACAAATTATGGCCTGATCAGATAAACTAGGCTATAAATTAATGAATGATAAAGATAATTACAGAAATAACAGAAAACCATCTTCCATACGGAGGAAGAAAACAGTATTAAACAAGTGAATTTGATTAGGTCATTTTCTATAATTACAGAAAATAGATGCTCATATATAATATATATATATAGGTTTTGTAGATTAGGTTTCAAAAAAATTAGTAGGATATCAACATTATCATTAAATCAACACGACCTTACTATATTTTTATTAGTTTCATCCCCATATTATTAATTCCAGTCTGAGGTTGGGTTCCATTCCACAAATAGGAAAAAAAAAAAAAAAACTGTTTTTTGAGTGAAAAGCCTATAGTTTTACCAAACCCAAAAAACCGCCATTTTCAGCAAAATGGCGGCAAAGTTTTTGGCAAGCAATTAAAGCCCAAAACGTGGCCTACGGATGTGCGTGAACGGTCGCCGTCTGATCAGAGCTATGAGATGGTCCAACAGCGCTCCAGAGGCCTAGTAAATTGCTGCTAGCAAGACAAAATTGTCAAGGAAAAGGAAAAATCCACGGATTTTTGTCATGTATGGAAACCGAAACACTAAAACATGCAGACACGAGACAGGGAGTAGGTGGCATAAAAGACAATACATCCATCAAACAAATAAATGGCATCTATGTTTGTTAAGGCCTAGAGAGGGAATTAAAGACGAGAAGATATAGGCGATCTAGTCTTAATAAAATCTTTTAATTAGTTGTGATTAAGAGAATAATTTAATCCCATTTCCCCTGGGATTGTTTTGTTATGAAACTTGAAGCTTTTGATGTTGGATGCTTCTTGGCGGATGTGTTATAGCTTTTAAATAAAAACTCTTGAAGAAACGTGAGAAACTGGTGTATTATGTGTCCGAGCGACCGTTTATAAGGCATCCGAAATTCAAATTTGCTTGTGCAAACCTGGCTATTATTGTGTCACAAGCCAAAGAAAAGAAAAGAATTCGTTTTGTCCGATGTTGAAGATACTACACCAGTGCGCGGTTGCTTTCAATATGCTAGCTGCACTAATTGGTTTCATCAAACAATGTCTTCTTCTAGTTGTTTCAGCGACCTTTGATCAGTATCCTATCATCAGCAGGCACGTAATCAAAAACCCACCTTCGATTAGTTAACTCTCCTTAATTATTTCTCGAATGAATATTCATAGCCTGCTACTAAAGACAATGAAGAATGTTAGTGTATCATCTGCGCATAACGGGGATTATTCCTATGTCCACCTAAAACAAAACTCCAAAAACGGTTGCCCTTTATACTTGAAACACCCATCATGGTAGTCCAAAATTTCCAAAAAAAATAAAAAAGAAAAGAAAATTCTATCTTTCTTCCTCTCTATACCACTACTCTTTCTTTATGAGCCTGCAGGTCTATAATCGGACACATTCCCTCCTGGTAGCTCTTGCTCCAGATGCCGCATCACCTGGATGGCTCAGCAAAGGAGACAATTCATGGCAACTAACAGCAACGACCTTTGTTGGCCTGCAAAGCGTTCCAGGGCTAGTTATCCTCTATGGGAGTATGGTCAAGAAGAAATGGGCTGTCAACTCAGCTTTCATGGCTCTCTACTCCTTTGCCGTGGTTTTACTTTGCTGGGTTTTGTGGGCCCATCAAATGTCTTTTGGAACCTATTTTGGCCCACTGGTGGGAAAGCCCGTTAACTCACTGCAAAACGTGTTTCTTCTAAGACAAATGGAAACTACTACTCATTTGCCAAACGCTGACTATGTGTTTTACCAATTTGCTTTTGCTGCCATTACTGTGATTTTGCTCGCTGGATCATTGCTTGGGAGGATGAACTTCTATGCTTGGATGATGTTTGTTCCTTTGTGGTTGACGTTATCTTATAGCGTTGGGGCATTCACTATATGGGGAACAGGATTTCTTCATCACAAAATTATTGATTATGCGGGTGGTTATGTCATCCATCTTTCATCTGGGGTGGCTGGTTTTACTGCTGCATATTGGGTAATTGATATGCTCATCTAATTCTGTCACGACTGTTAAACTAAGTTCTGGAAACCAAGCCAGTTGTAGCTTATTAGTTAAGTCCCAAAAGGTTGAGAAAACTTTAAGGAAGTCGTTAATTAATTAATATGGAACATATGTATCACAGTTTATCCCAATTCAGGCTTCAACGCATTTACTTTTTTAAAGCAAGAGAAACGATGATGGAGAGAAGCCGACCTAATTGAACCCCAAATGTAAAAGATTAAAACTGTTTTCTGATTATTATACCATGCAGAAAGATCTAAACAACTAAATTAATTAGGTTTTGTTCATTTGGATGATGAAAATTTCGAATCTTTTCTACATACAAAATACCATCGCAAACATTTTCATTGATGTTTGTTAACTATGCATTGTGCTTACTTGTGATTGTGGCGGATGATTGCAGGTAGGACCTAGACATTCGCATGATAGGCAACACTTTCCACCCAACAACATAATTCAAATTTTGGGAGGTGCAGGATTTCTGTGGATCGGATGGACTGGTTTCAATGGAGGATCTCCATTAAACGCAGGCCTGATCACATCTCTAGCCATAATAAACACCCATATCTGCACTGCCACTAGCCTCTTGGTCTGGCTTGCTTTAGACATGGTTGTATACAAGAAAAGCTCAGTTATCGGTGCAGTCCAGGGGATGATCACAGGTCTTGTTTGCATCACTCCTGGTGCAGGTTAGCCTTTATTCAGCTCAAATTAGTCATTGTCCAGGCATGTTTAACTTTCTTTCTAGAGGTTTTATAATCATTTGCTGAGGAAAATTTCCCTCCATTTATAAAATAGCGGAGCCAAAAAGGAGAAAATTGAACATCATGTTTCTAGCATTAAGTGCATTGACATATGATACATGCATTGGCAGGTCTTGTGGATCCATGGGCGGCAGTCCTAATGGGGATGATGTCCGGATCAATTCCATGGTACACAATGATGGTTTTGCACAGAAAATACGCATTCTTCCAAAGCGTGGACGATACATTAGGTGTCTTCCATACACATGCGGTGGCGGGGCTTTTAGGGGGCCTCCTCTCTGGTCTCTTTGCCAGACCGAAGCTTCTCAAGATGATGTATCGTTTAGACTGTTATGGTCCAGGCTTACTCCACAGTAAGGGAGAGCTCCACCGTGGACTCAGACAAATGGGGTATCAGATTCTAGGAGCAATTTTTATCACTGCATGGAATGTTGCTGTTACTAGCATCATTTGCCTATTTATAGGCCGCATTGTTAGTTTAAGGATGGATGAAGAGGACCTTGAGGTAGGGGATGACGCAGTGCATGGAGAGGAAGCTTATGCGCTGTGGGGAGATGGTGAAAGGATGCCAAAACCTCGCCGTCTGCGTATACCTCCTATCCGTCTTCGTCTGGTTTCAACTCCTATATGAACTATAATAAGTTTGAGAAGGCTGCAATACTCTCGACTGCAGCTTTTGTTTGATGCTGCTCAATAGCCATTTACGATCTATAAATGTTCATATCGCGCACTTGGGAAAGAGAAAATACTCTGCCTGATTGTTGTGATTTGTGCATATAACCAAACATCAATGTTACTGCAAGCTTATATCAATCTACTTGGAATCTGTAATTTCAAAGCATTGGAAACAACAACCAACAAATTTCTTTTGGAGGAAATGCAATTGTCGAGTGCAATATATTCATATCATTGTTTTGTCCCCCCCTTGTTTCCTCGTTGCTGTATGCCAAGACAGGTTATTTTATTAATCATTTTGGCTACTCCTTTTTTTTTTTATATATCTTAATTTATTCACAATAACTTGTGATGTGAAAATGTCAACGACAGCAGGCTTGTTCATGAGGGAAAAAATACAAAAGAAAAAGGATGATTGACAACAGAGCTATCAGCTAGTAAAAGGACACATTTGCATCGCATCACTAACAATAAACTTTTCTGAAAGCTAGGTAGCCAAGTAGAAAACCACATAGTAAAATTTTAATTTGGCATAGGAATATCAGTCAAAGAGATATATATTTACACTCGATGACAAACATACTACGGTGTCAGCAGGTCATTTTAATACCTTGTCCGGTACTGATGTCAACAATGTGCTTCAATAAAGCATAAACAAGGTAGAAATCCCTCGAAGCAACAAGAGTGTGAGCAGATAGCCATTTTCTCTATAAAGGATTTCACCAGCAAAACAACAAAACATTGTCTTTTTGGTCATTGCTTTAGCGGCTTTGCAATCATACCTTCTAAAATAATTTGTTGTTATCGGAGAGCAGGCGGCTGAGCATGACATAAGCCGTTCATGTTGATTCACTGCAAAAACACCTCCAGTTACCAGGGCTAGAAGCCTGGAAATCTGGATTTTTTTTTTTTTGTCAAATTAATTACTGTGGAAGATGGTATTAAACAAATTTATGAAATCACAGAGCAATAAAAGGAAAAAAAAAAAAACAAAAATCAGTTTTAGAAATCAAAATCATATTTTTCACATAAAACCAAGGTACGCAATCAAAGACAATTGTTATACTGTCCAACCAAGTTTCAATACTGACATACAACTACATGCTTAATAGAGATGAGAAACTGCTAAAACAACCACAAACATCGATGCTCGTCCAAACTAGATATTACATCAACATTCAACATCAAAAAGACTTAACGAACTCTCCTAACTTCCCCCCTCTTAGAGGTTGCCCAAACCAAATAAAAAGCTTCACCGAGAACCACGAGAATAAGAACGCTCCCTCTTTGCTCTTCCACCGTGAGGAGAATACCTTGGAGAGTAGTCACGACCTCGATATGGTGAGCGCCTTGGGGATCGACGATATCCATAGTCATCACGGCCACCTCGATACCTGCCACGGTCACCACGACCTTTTAACCAATAAAAGAACATCAAAATTCAGAAATATTAGTCATGACATCAAAAAACCATAAAGTCCAATTTTATAACAAAGAAAAACTTACCATAGTCCCTGGTATTTTTCAGTCCAAGATAGTGCCCTGGTGTTGGAGTTCTTGGGCGCTTCCTACGTGACTGAAAGGTAGTAGATGAAACACATTAATATTCAAGTAAAGCAAATATTTGGGTGGTATTATCAAAATAGTGAAGGAGCCTACAGCACCATAAATCATTTATTAAAACTATAAAATTATAAAAACAAAGATGTTACTTTGAAAAGTAAAATCTTCATTTGGGTGATCACCTGGAAGGTGAAAAAATTGGCCATTGAAATTAAGGGAAGAACAAAAACCATGATAGACATCCGGACACAAGTAGTGCCTATTAAATGAATGCCAGATGTGAAATACCATAAAAGCCTGATTATAAAGTTGTTGTATTGGCCGTTGATTAGTTGAGAGTTGAAAGTGAATGCTGAGGTTGTATAGTTGTTGGCAAAATAGTTCCTAATTTAGTTGATCACATGCATTTGAAAAGCTGTTTTAGCTGGCCATTGATCAATCTTGTTTCACTTAAGTTGAGATGGATGAAGTCATCATCTTTGATTGCTGCCAACATAGCTGACGCAATATATTCTGAATATAGCCAGAAAACCTCCCAGTTAAGAAGAATGATAACCATTGGCCAAAAAAAAAGAAAAAAAGAAGAATGATAACCAGACAAAACTGTTCAATTCTACGCAACAAGGATAGAGTCCAATTACCCTCTCTACAGTTATGTATCGACCCTCTAAAATTGATTGGTTGAGATACTTAATGCAGCGGTTGGCATCCTCGACATTGTCCATAGTAACAAAAGCAAAACCACGAGATATGCGAGTACGAGGTTCAACGACGAGAAAACATGATGCAACCTTTAAAACAAAATCATCGCCTTAGCGGTAAATAAAAATTGGATAATAGTAATAAAATAATGAAAGCAAGGAAAAATCCCACAATTGTGAGTTTGTAAAATAAACCAACCTTTCCCTCCTTCGAGAAGTGCTCTTCAAGGTCCCTATCTGTGACCCTTTGAGAAAGACCAGTGACATAAAGTGTGTTTCCAGGGTTTCCAGCATCAGCCCTGCCACATCACTCCAAAAGAATATAAATATAATAAATGAAAATAAAATGCAGCATTGAAACTCCGACATCAATGTAGAAGAATACAGGATAAGGTATAAACATTGCAGTTCAGGTCACAGTTTCGCAAATGAAAGCAAAACCACAATTAAAACTAACCTGCCACGACTTCTTGACCTTGATCTGTATAACAAGCAACAAAAGTAAAAAGGATAAGCAATACTACCACAGTACTTATTGTAAATTGAAATTGAGCAGGTGGACACCAAACCTGCCCCGACTATGTGACCTAGACCTACGCCTTGGCCTTGACCAAGAGCGGGATCTTGATCTAGACCTAGACCTAGGTCTAGATCTGGACCGTGACCTTGACTGCTCCCTCAATGGGGAGGGGGACAAAGAACTCCTGATACATCCAGAAAATATATTAGCTGAAAATGGAGATTGATGTAACAGCAATTGACTAACAAGCTTGGCAAAAGAGTGGTGTGTCCTATATAAAACCAATCCTATCAAAAACCCAAAACGATAAAAGAGATAATGCAAATTACTTCCCAAATCATTCATATTGTTGTCACACTCGCCCACACTATCCCTTTACAAAGATTCTCCATTTTTCTTCGAGAAACCACAGAGTACAAGAATCAACAGAGGAATGCCTACTTCAGCTCAACTTTAAAAAAAAAAGTCTATTCTTTGTGTTTTAGAAGAAAAAAGGAACATAATTTTGCGAAATCAAAATTGATACTGATTGAATATTAAAAATTTCTCTGGGATTATAATTCCTCATAATGAATGCTCATCAAAATCCCTAAATCAGCCCAACTTGTTCAATCTAGGGTTTCCCGATAATTCATTTGAAAGAAATTAGCCAAAAAAAAAATTAGTAAAGCCAGAGATCAAACGCTAAAATACAACGATGAGAAATGGAGCGTTACCTTTTACGAGGAGAATCCGTCTGTCATAAACAAAACGCATTTAAATAGATGAATTCTTAACCAACCAAAATAAAAGCAAAAGCATAAAAAAAAAACATGAGAGACAAGAGAAGATGTAAGCGCTTACCATTTTGAGGAACAACAGAGAAGCCTAAAACGCAAGATCGGAAATTGGGAAATTTAGGGTTTTCACGCGCAGATGCTAAGGTCAAAGAAATTTCTTCGTTTTAAGAATTAAGAAAAGCGAAATTATGAATTATTGGGTATTTAGAGGAGAGATTCAATGCGGTGGACTTGACATGAAGCTTTTGTGCGCCACCACCCTTTAAAAGAGTAAAAAATTGGACGAGGTAAATTTTCATTATAGCATTAAAAATTTTGAATTTTTTAGAATAGTATTTAAAGCATAATTTTTAATTTCATTTCAATATTAATCGTATCGATAAGTATATTTTAATTATATTAAAATATAATATATTTAAAGATAATTTTTTATTAAATTTGATATCGAATAATATTGGATATCTTAATTAATTTTGATCTGTTTTAATGATTTTTAATAAAATAATATATTTTAATTGATACGTGAATGTGAAATTTATTTTTTATTATCTAATTATTTTTAACTTAATAAAAATAAAATTAATTGATAAAATAATTTTTGAGTTTTTTTATTTTTTATTTTAATTTATTTTTTAATATTTTATTTTTTCAAACCAAAATTTATATTTATATTTTTTATTTTTTTAAACCGAAAATTATAAGTATTTCAATTTTTTAAAGAAAACAATTATACTCTTTTTATAAAATTTAACAATTATAAAATTTTGATTAATTTTTTTCATTTTTTATTTTATCTTAATATTTATATGAAAAAATATTATTTAAATATCATATTATCAAATTAAGTATTTAAAAATATCACAAAAAATTTATAATATTATTTTTTATATTTTTAAACTTATTTATTTAATTTAAATATAATACATATTTATTTTGTGACTTATTAATAATATTTAATGTATAAATTAATATATATTTATAAATATATTTATGCTAAATTTAAAATTTTAAAATAATATTTCAAAAGAACTGATCACCAATACATATCTTTTTAAAAATAAAAAATAAAATATTATTCGATAAATATTACCAACCTTGATTTAAAGAGTTCGTCCATACATTTAATTTACTCATTTTGACTTCAAATTGACCACTTTTAAAGCGTTCTTGTGCCAACTCTAGGTTTTTCTTTTTTTTTTTTTTACTCTTTTTTCCTTTTCTTTTTCTTTCTCAAATTTCTTTTTTTTTTTTTCAAAACGTACCATGCATTATAAAATCTCCAATTTTTTTTCAGTTTTCTCTTATCTTTTTTTTTTATACTTTTTTTATTACGTCTGAAGAATAAAACTTTAATAAAAATAAAAAAATAAAAAATTTAGATCAAAATTAAACTTTTGATATTTTTTTAAGCGTTTTTAATCGTTAAATTAAAAAAAAAAATGTTTAGGTACTTTTCACACTCTCACTCTTTATACAAAAGAAACCACCTACTCGTACTTTGCTCCATTTCCTGTTGCCAGTGGCTGGAATATCATAAAATAATGACAATAAACTCCTCTAGAACCTTGATCATATCTATAAGTTTGATTTTTTTAAAATCAAGCCGAAAAATCTTGGATTTATTTAAATCTTAATATCACAACTTCGAACTCAAAAAACTTCACCTCTATCATTCAAAAACCATACGAAATTTGATTATGTCGTACTTCTCCCTTTGTTCTTCGTTTCCACTGATTTAGATTTCGCAAACACTCCGTCAATTTACATTTCTCAACAACTTTAGCATCTCAAATATTTAAGAAAAAGTAAGATCTTTGGTTTTAAATTTTAAAGATTTTGTTGTTTGGGGTTTTTTCTGCATTGTTTTGATGATTTTGTAGGCTCCCATGTCGATCCACAACAAATACAACGTAAGGCACTTCGAATTGTCATGACTGACTGCTAGATTTTACTGAAAAGCTGAAAGTAACTACAGTTGAATCGGGAAAGATGACTTAAAAATCTTGTGCTTTCCATTTATGAATCGAGGTGCGTGCTACTAAATTTAAAAATGAATTTGCATTTAATAGTTTTGCTGCATCTAAGGTATCTGTATATATACAATCTTTTTTTTTCACAAACTAATACTTCAACAAGGAATTAAAAATAGAAGAAATCACCAATGTACTGCTATGCTGATCTGATTTTACAAGGTCGATATTTCATCTCTGCTAGTCTTGTATTATGTTGTAAGAAAAAGATTGTACTATTAAAGATTGGGTATTGCAATCAAAGTAGATCAGCAGTCATTGAGTTACAACTGAATTGAAGCTCAAGGAGCTGTGGTTCTTCTTTTCCACAAATTTTCTTTTCTTGTTTCTTCAGCTATTCCAACACCATTGACAACAATCTCTTCTTCCTTTTCACTTTTCACTCCATTTTCCTCGTACAAAGGATTGCTTACGGGGCCTGTTCCCCCTGCTGCATCATAAGCCCTCCAATCAAAATCTGACAACGTGCCACGTGCGCTAGAAAATTGCTTCATCTGGCCAAGGGAAGGAACTCTTTCAGCAACCTTTGCCTTGGAAACATCAGATTTATGATCACGCTTTGTCCCTTTCAAAACCTTATGCATCACAAAAACCAAAGGCTTCCTCTTCACTTCATCCGTAAATGCTTGAGAAGCTAGCTTAGGTTTGCTGAGCCTGACAGTTTCTTTTTTCTCTTTCTTGCGCTTGATTTGGCCCATGCACGAAACTTTTGGTGAGGCTGGTTCCCATGCATCAAAGCTCCCAGTCTTGGACTTCCTTGGAGCCTCCTTGGGAATCAAGGATACGATCGGACCTGGAGATCCTTTACCAGCAGGGCTGATTGGTGGGCTTACTTGGAAAGTGACAGCTGATGCAGCTTTTGGCAGAAAGGCCAGGATCTTGTTCCTCTGTTTCAGCGGTTTCTCCATCCGAGAGAGATCAAACGATCTGGCTAAGGGAGATTGACCTTGTGGAAAACATACATACAGGGCCTTGTAGATATAGGAAAGTGGCACTGGTGGTTACAATGAGTAATCTTTGCCGGCCAGAACTTCACATATATTTTACTGGGTCATCACGGACCGCCCTGCCGATCATTTGCTTTAATCAAAAGTACATTATACAATTTTTTAATATTAGTGTCACATTAGATTTTTGTTTTATACTTTTCGAACATGAATGTCATCAAATTACAAGTTGACTTTGTTTATTTTTTTTTTCATTCATAAAAAATCATAAGACATTCATGATTCATTGATGAGTTGTATTTAGCTCTCCTTCACATTGCTTGTAGTTTTTCTTTAATTTAGCAACATTATTAACTAGACATATTTCCTTTTTTCTCGGATGCCATAAATTATTATTAATTAATTTGTGATTTACAAAAATTAGGATTTGCCTTAAAATTTTACGTATAAATGTGAATTACAAAAATCGGCCAGATATCTTCTTTTTTTTTAATAATTAAACGACCATATGTCACATTGGGTAAAACATAATATTTAGACTAAACATGTTGAATTAAGAAATTATTTTATATTTTGTAATATACAAGAGTTCATGTTTATTAAATTTTTTATAATTTTTTTTTTGTTTGAGACCTCTCGGTATCCTGTAATCATTTTGATTCTCTATTAATTCAAAATCGAGCCGAATTGGATCTCATAAAAGAAACAAATTTTCTTAAGCTTATTTTTTCTATTAACAGAACTCAAAGTTGAAATTTTATTTAAGAGGAACCGAGCTCCTTACTACTCAAACTAACAAGCTTTGGTATATAATTTTAATCATTAATGTGTTCTGTCTCTAATTTAAAAAAAAAAGACAATTTTTATTTGTCATAAGTTTCATAGTTACAAATATTAAAATATTAGAACTACTTTTGTTCATATATAAAAAAAGTCTTGGACCTAATAAGTAAAAAAACTAAAAAGAATGAAAATATTCGTAAATAAGAAAAAGTGTAGGGAGAAAAGTGAATAAACAAGAAATTTCTAGGTCAGGTTTTTTTTTTTTTTTTGGGCTGAAAATGTTGGTTTTTTCCTCAAACATTATATAATTCAAATTATTAGTTAAAAAAGCATTTTCATAATTTTAATCATTAATGTGTTCTGTCTCTGATAAAAAAAAACTATTTTTATTTGTCATAAGTTTCATAGTTACAAACATTAAAATATTAGAGCTAATTTTGTTCAAATATATCTATAAAAAAAAGTCTTGGACCTAATAAGTAAAAAACTAAAAATATAATGGGAATTTTCATAAAAAAGGAAAACTATAAGGAAAAAAGTGAATAAACAAGAAATTTCTTGGTCAGTTTTTCATTTTTTTTGGCGGAAAATGTTGCTTTTTTTTCCCTCAACTGAAACATTACCGCAATTGAAATTATTAGTTAAAAAAAGCATTTTTTTTATAATTTATTGGCCTTTGATTTTTTTTTCCTTTCAAATTTCAATCTTGTAAAATTTTCCAGTGTTCTAGTACTTTAAACTGAAAATGCAATGCAAATAATAAATCAACTCATGTCCTGTTGTTCACTTTGTGGAGCAACTCCTACTATGGACAGGATTTCTTTGCTAATCAAGATTATTTTTTTTATTTAGAATGATTGAAATACCTAATCAAGGTCTTTCTTTGATTTTTTTGGCAGTCCAAGGACGAATGTGAATGCCTAATCGATCTTGCCATGCCTCATATGGAAAAGTCCATCGTTGTCGATAGTGAAACTGGCAAGAGTAAAGATAACAGGCATGTAATTCTTGGTGTTCTTATTGCATAACATTTCCTTTGTATCTCTTTGGACTCTTTGATTATATGTGAAACCCTGGATGTTTACATGCAGGGTACGCACAATTTCTGGAACATTTCTGGCTAGAGAACGTGACAAGATTATCAGGAACATTGAGAAAAGGATTGCAGATTTTACATTCATACCACTAGGTATGAGCTAATATATGGATCAATCCAAATTTATCGATCAATTATCTTTACTTTCACTGGTGCATTTTTTTTTTTTAAATCTGCGGTTATAAAGTAACTCATATCAACACAATATGCAGAGCACGGAGAGGGACTTCAAATTCTCCAATATGAAGTTGGCCAATAATATGAGCCTCACCATGACTACTTCATGGATGAGTTCAATACTAAGAATGGGGGCCAAGGCATAGCTACTGTCCTTACATACCTGTAAGCGACATGATAGATTTTTCCTGTATTTCTGATCCAAATGCATTATGTGAAAGTTGACCTTTGTTCTTTCTATTTTTTTTTTCTCCCATTTTACAGGTCAGATGTTGAATAAAGTTATTGGTGGGGGGGGGGGGGGGGGGGAGAGAGTATTTCCTGCGGCAAAGGGGAACATTAGTGCTGTGCCTTGGTGGAACGAATTATCTGAATGCCGAAAAGGACTTTCTGTCAAACCAAAGATGGGTGATGAATTACTTTTCTGGAGCATGGAGCCCGATGCCTGATGCTAGTCTAGATCCGTCAAGTCTGCATGGTTAGTACTTGTTACTAGTTAACTAGCAGCAGAGCTGGGTAGTTCACATTTCAGTTATACCGCATAAGGACACTTTCATTTTTGAGTGTCATATTCCTTGAACGTCACAAGTTAATGTCTACTTTCATCTCCCCCCACCCATCCCCTTTTCATTTCATTTATAGGTACTTCTGTTAGAATTTACCGTTTTTAATTATCCAGGAGGCTGCCCTGTGATTAGAGGAAATAAGTGGTCGTCTACAAAATGGATGCGTGTCAGTGAGTATAAGGTTTAAACAGCCATTATAAAAGGTAACTTTTTCTATCTAGTTTTGATAGTTATCAGAATCATTGATATAGCTATACTGTTGCTTTCAATCATTTGACATATTAGTTCCTCTGCTTCCGTATCTAGACCCCTAAAGTAAATAATGATTAGGAAGATAGACCATATGCTTTGCAGGTCTACATCTTCAAAAAAAAAAAAAAAAGTAGCCCTTAGCATAAACTAAAAGTTCAGGGAAATGGTGAATCTAGATGATTTTGAAATGAATGAGAGATTGTGTCGTCGCAATTTGCAACAGACTGCTGACAACCACTCATTCTTCAAGTCTAATGATTTGAATTCTTTCTTGTTTTCTGAGAGAAAGGAAACAGAGAAACGTCAAACTCCTTTGTCACATATTTTCAATATTGTTTGTAAAATGGTTTTCTTTAGAGAAACTAGCCTCTCCTGCAAATGATCTCATACAGTATCTTACATTTTATATTTTCTTAGTTGACAGGATTTACTTGGATTCCTTAGTATCCTTGTTATACCATGGAAAGTTAAAGCGAGAGAGCCCTGCAGACCACAGCTATTGTGCTTCACGTATGGATCACAGCTTGGCGCCTACCTCCTATCATTTTTGCGTGCAGTGCTTTCCTCTGCTGACTTGGACTTGTGCTCCAACCTTGTTTCGTTTCCCTTTTTTTCTTTTTTCTTTTCGTTTTTTCCCTCGGTATAGAGCCTTTATATATATGTTACTACCACTAATAATAATAGAATAAAAGTCGGAAATTTGGCATGCATGCCAATGTGTATTGTCCAGCACAGATGAGTTGATGATAAATGAGAAACACGAAATTATTTATTTGACGTATTTGAGTTTTAGACCGCAGGACTAGATATAAAAGTGTAATAGCAACAACTTTTATTTCCTGCAATAACAAATGCAATTTGTATTCTCAATAACCCTAAAATTCTTCCTTTCTATTTTTTTTTTTTTAGCTCAGTCAGACACTTAATCGTCTTATATATATTATCCATTGGCTGGGTTTTACGGACCTGACAACTAATATAAAACGGTTAACTTAATACTAATGTTCTATGAGTTTAAATTATATTCATAAATTAAAATTTCAGATTGGACCAGACCAAGACTTGGGCTCCTATGTCTAATTTTAAGCCCAAACCAAAGCAAACTGGGCCTAGAGGCCAGTGATAATATCTAACATCTGTGCGCTACGTGAACGCCATCCGATTCGAGTGACACGTATGCCTGCTACGTGTCTGTTTGCAGGAAATCATCAATTTGATAAGAACAAGTTACAATGAACTGATAAAGTACAAGACAAGACAGAGAAAAGACAAGAATCATTCATCATGTAAACACAAGACGATCAGAAATTTCCATATTATTAAAATTACAGTATTTTTTTGCCTGTTCCCTTCGTCTAAAACCTCATCGAATAAGTGGGGTGAGGATAGGAAAGAATAAAGGGATTATCTGAACGTGCCTTAAATCGCAACATGCAATTTTCCCACCTTGGTTTCTAATTTATTCATAAACTTCGCCGCAATTTTACTTCACAAGTGAAGCCCATGTCTAATTTGCGTACATGGTTACCAAAATGTTCGTCAAAGACGCATAGCCCGCTTTGTAGAAAAATTCTTTCTGCCCAAATCATTGTTTTGAGCCGATCAGGTTCCTGATGACATATTGCAAAATGCCTCCATGGTTGAAGTAAGCTAGTTCCACCTGCATTTAAGAAACCAAGGCTTAATTCGAAGACTGGAGTTCTTGTGAGAATAACCAGATAACAGAAGCCAAGATATGGCTAAATTGCTTGATTACCTCTGTATCAAATCGTACAGTACAACTGAATGACTTGCCACCGTCTGTAGCCACAGTGACATCTTGACCAGGTCTAATTTCACTCACGTTGCTGGGAAGATCAATAGTATAGCGCTCATGGCCAGTCAATCCAAGAGTCTCAGCATCTTCTCCAGGCTTGAAACATAGTGGAATGACGCCCATGCCCACCAAATTACTGCGGTGAATTCGCTCAAAGCTCTTGGCAATGACTGCTTTTACACCCTGAGTACAAAATCATTAATGATATTATCGAGAGACCGGAAAATACATAGAAATTGAGCAGAATGAGATCTACACTTTCGTCACTCAAGCCAGAAAAAAGGTTCAGAAAAAGGCTAAAAAG